AACACTGGATCAATAAGAGATGATCCTTACTGGGCCTCTAGGAAGAACAGTTTAGAACTGATAGAGCTATCCAGTATAAATAAAGTTAGTTTAGGTTTCCTCCTGTAGTAACACCGGATCAATAAGAGATGATCCTTACTGGGCCTCTAGGAAGAACAGTTTAGAACTGATAGAGCTATCCAGTATAAATAAAGTTAGCTTAGTTTAGGTTTGCTCCTGTAGTAACACTGGATCAATAAGAGATGATCCTTACTGGACCTCTAGGAACAGTTTAAAACTGATAGAGCTATCCAGTATAAATAAAGTTAGTTTAGGACTTTAGGTTTCCTTCTTTTAGTAACACTGGATCAATAAGAGATGATCCTTACTGGACCTCTAGGAACAGTTTAAAACTGATAGAGCTATCCAGTATAAATAAAGTTAGTTTAGGACTTTAGGTTTCCTTCTTTTAGTAACACTGGATCAATAAGAGATGATCCTTACTGGACCTCTAGGAACAGTTTAAAACTGATAGAGCTATCCAGTATAAATAAAGTTAGTTTAGGACTTTAGGTTTCCTTCTTTTAGTAACACTGGATCAATAAGAGATGATCCTTACTGGACCTCTAGGAACAGTTTAAAACTGATAGAGCTATCCAGTATAAATAAAGTTAGTTTAGGACTTTAGGTTTCCTTCTTTTAGTAACACTGGATCAATAAGAGATGATCCTTACTGGACCTCTAGGAACAGTTTAAAACTGATAGAGCTATCCAGTATAAATAAAGTTAGTTTAGGACTTTAGGTTTCCTTCTTTTAGTAACACTGGATCAATAAGAGATGATCCTTACTGGACCTCTAGGAACAGTTTAAAACTGATAGAGCTATCCAGTATAAATAAAGTTAGTTTAGGACTTTAGGTTTCCTTCTTTTAGTAACACTGGATCAATAAGAGATGATCCTTACTGGACCTCTAGGAACAGTTTAAAACTGATAGAGCTATCCAGTATAAATAAAGTTAGTTTAGGACTTTAGGTTTCCTTCTTTTAGTAACACTGGATCAATAAGAGATGATCCTTACTGGACCTCTAGGAACAGTTTAAAACTGATAGAGCTATCCAGTATAAATAAAGTTAGTTTAGGACTTTAGGTTTCCTTCTTTTAGTAACACTGGATCAATGAGAGATGGCTTATGTGCGATGATGATGTTAGCTACAGAACAGTTATAACTACACAATTCTTACCTTTGGTAGAAATATAAGGAACAGCGTCCCAAGAGATGGAAAGATTATACAAATTGCAGTTATTCCATAACTTTCTTTATAAAAACTTTCACTCAAAATTATCCTCAGTAATCCACCAAGTACACTCATTACCCCACAATTGTACACACACACACCAATCATACGACTATCATTCAGATGTTCAAACTGAACATTTCGTGTTTCATATGCGAGGAACAGACCGTAGAGCATGAGGGTGCCTTTGAGAACATAGATTGCAGTCACCCATTTATCTTGATTGTCAGAGTGACAGGTGTATAAGATTGGGAGAATCAATCCGCTAGGGTCATCAGGATCAGTCTGCAATAAAAGTGATCAAGTTAATATTTATATGTTGGATAACTGTATTCTAAGCTGTTCTTTTATTAAATGTCCAGTACAAGCCATCTCCTTATTGATCCAGTATCACTCCAGGAGGAAATCTAAACTAAACTAACTTTAATTATACTGGATAGTTCTATCAGTTCTAAACTGTTCTTCCTAGAGGTCCAGTAAGGATCATCTCTCATTGATCCAGTGTTACTACAGGAGGAAACTTAAACTAAACTAACTTTATTTATACTGGATAGCTCTATTAGTTCTGAACTGTTCTCTTTAGAGGTCCAGTAAGGATCATCTCTTATTGATCCAGTGTTACTACAGGAGGAAACTTAAACTAAACTAACTTTATTTATACTGGATAACTCTATTAGTTCTGAACTGTTCTCTTTAGAGGTCCAGTAAGGATCATCTCTTATTGATCCAGTGTTACTACAGCAGGAAACCTAAACTAAACCAACTTTATTTATACTGGATAGCTCTTTCAGTTCTAAACTGTTCTTCCTAGAGGTCCAGTAAGGATCATCTTTTATTGATCCAGTGTTACTACAGGAGGAAACCTAAACTAAACTAACTTTATTTATACTGGATAGCTCTATCAGTTCTAAACTGTTCTTCCTAGAGGTCCAGTAAGGATCATCTCTTATTGATCCAGTGCTACTACAGGAGGAAACCTAAACTAAACTAACTTTATTTCTACTGGATAGTTCTATCGGTTCTAAACTGTTCTTCCTAGAGGTCCAGTAAGAGTCATCTCTTATTGATCCAGTGTTACTACAGGAGGAAACCTAAACTAAACTAACTTTACTTATACTGGATAGCTCTATCAGTTCTGAACTGTTCTCCCTAGAGGTCCAGTAAGGATCATCTCTTATTGATCCAGTGTTACTACAGGAGGAAACCTAAACTAACTTTACTTATACTGGATAGCTCTATCAGTTCTAAACTGTTCTTCCTAGAGGTCCAGTAAGGATCATCTCTTATTGATCCAGTGTTACTACAGGAGGAAACCTAAACTAAACTAACTTTATTTATACTCGATAGCTCTATCAGTTCTAAACTGTTCTTCCTAGAGGTCCAGTAAGGATCATCTCTTATTGATCCAG